TGCTTTTAATTACGACTGCTTGCCCTCCACGTTCTTCTTGCCCTCGCTTTCGATCTGCCCCACGCCGCCTTTCTTTTTCGCTCCCGCTTCTTCCTCTTTTCCCCTCGTCCCAGAGAACAAGAGGATTCATCTGGTTTTAGATTTTCTTCTTTGTTCTCATTCGATTTGTTTAGCTGCATGACGAGGTGAATCGATTGAGCTTGGGCTTTCTTGAAAGAGACAGAGATAGATTCGTTGAGGAAAGAGATAATGTATCGGGATCGGGGATTCATCGTGCCAAAAGCGGAGACTGGAGCCGTGGGTCGGAAGCGGATCAGTGATGCCCTCGACAAGCATCTCGAGAAGACCTCGCCGTCGACCTCAAGGGGGTTGAACAGCAAAGCCAAGGACTGGTTACATGTGCCGCCCACCTCCGTCGGCAAGCACCCGGAGCACCGGCAGCATCGGTCAGCGGCCCCTTCCAAGAACAAGTGCTCCGATGGTCTAGTATTTTATCTTTTCTTTTCATTTATTTGGTGTTTTTTTATTGTCTCTGACTGTTTCTTTGCTTTGTGTTGTTGGTACGCGGTATAATATCTAAAGATCTCTTCTTTTAGTCTTGTTTTCCATGTTTGTGGACTGTGATTTTTCTATTTTAGATGTTATGTCGCATTTAGGATTTTGAAGTGCGTCTACCATTTTCATCGATTAGTGAAAAGATGCATTTGTCACCAAAACAGAGGAGCATGAAAATTTGAAATAAGACTTTGTTCTATGAGTCTCTCAATTGATTCTTAGGACTTTGTCATGTAAAGGACTCTATTCATGTAGATTAAATGAACTTTACCTTATAAAATAAGCATATGAATGACATCAATATCATATCAAGAAATCTAATGTAATTTGCTTTAGTTCTTCAGCACCGTAGGACGGAGATAATTGTCTTGTATATATCTGAAGTCGTTTGCTGGATTTGTTGGTATATTTCTTTGGAGCCGAGTGCTAGATAAACTTCATCACAGTTTATAATCTTGTGAATGAAACTGTCTCTCATAGAATTTGTTTATTAGCCTTATCAAATATCATGTTCAGTCATCAAGGGGTTCTATCTGGATTTTTCATAAAACAAATGCTCCTAGCCTTCTTATGTTTTTGAGTCCTTTTCAAATGTGAAGAGTTAGTTATTCTTTCAGAGTCATTTTCTACTGCTCATTCTTAAATTTCATAGCTAAACCATTTTTGTGTTAGATGGAAGTGGTATATTGCTGTGCAATTGTCTAGTGTAACTTTCATTGACTTGATCTATATCTTATCAATTTGGAACGGGAGCATCTTGTGCGCTAAGATCTACATATCCTTTAGGATTGGTTGGGTATCTAATCACCATCACCTTATTAAGTGGGAGAAGGAAGAACCAGGCCATCATCGATGTGATTGCTTTCCAGTCAGGAGTCTTACTGGATTCTGTATTATTTTTGGAAGTTAACCAGAATGTACTACAGTTGACCAATAACTTGTTTGTTCGTAGTCCTTCAGCCTGTTTCCAGTGTTAAACTGGGGTCAAGAAGGGGCTTGAGAGTAAGACTGAAAAAGTGCAGGATGTTTCAGTAGGGAAGTTCAACTGAACTTGTGGTTCAGCACTTATTGGTTGCATTACATCTAGCTTACTGATAGATAGGGGTACAATAATTTGTTGTTACATTCTGCAAAAGTCTACAAACTGAAGTTATTGAGAAAACAACCTTGATTCCTTTGCCAAGGTATCATATGACCTAAGGCAATCCTAATGCAAGTAGAGGGTACTCCTTGGCTCCATAGTAACTTCGTAGGGGTCACATCGACATGCGCCTCGTTCACCAGGTCCCAGACTATCTTTTTTATTCTTTATTACATTTGCAAATACAGGACAATTCAAGCTTTAAGATTACTTCAGTATATCATATATTATCAGTATTATATAAGATTTTGAGCCATGTCATAACCATATGCAGTCCTTGGTGCCACAGTAAACTTATAGGGTTCACATCGGTGGGCCTTTTTTACACCGGGCCATTTTTTGTTCTTTCATTTCATTTGCAAATGTAGCACAATTCCATGTTGAAGGTTACTGCAATCTACTGTATGCTATTAGTATTCCTGTTAGAGTTTAGCCATGTTATGACCATGTTCTCTTTTTCAACTTCTGGTGCTATAGACGAGCCTGAAACTGACAGTGAAGAGTCAGATGTTAGTGGATCAGATGGGGACACATCTTGGATATCATGGTTTTGTAACCTAAGAGGGAATGAGTTCTTTTGTGAAGTTGATGATGAGTACATACAAGATGAGTTCAACCTCTGTGGGTTAAGCAGTCAAGTCCCATACTTTGACTGTGCTCTCGATCTAATTCTTGATTTGGAGTCTTCTCATGGTAAGTTTGATTATTCTTCTATGAACACTTTTGTTTTCTTTCAATTTGTTCGTGTTCACTGAAATATAGTTCTATATTGAAAGTTACATTGATAATTTATCATATATTTTTTATCTACTTGAATAGCTTTTGATATCTATTTTATTATAAGAAATAATGCTGAGATGGACTTATTAAGATGTAGTATTGAGCCTTCGATGCTGAGTTTGGCACTCAAATTATAATATTTGGTTTCACTAGGGTTTGCTGAGTTTATTTTTTGTGTTGTTTCTTCTAGGGCATTGGTGTTTTGGTGGACAAAATAGGAGACTTTGGAAAGGAAATGCCAAGAAATGTCTCCCATTTTAAATATATTAAATATTTATTCTAATATATTTTTTGGAGAATTTGGTTTTGAACATGGTGTTTTGTGCTGAAAATGTAAGGTATTTCAAAAACATAATAACCAATTAATTTAGAAGGTTGCTTTTGATTTGTTTTTTTTTTTTTTTGCATTTTTGAGTTAGCATAAAAGGAAAGCAATTTCATGGAAGAAGTATGTTTAGTTAACAACGAATTATTGTTCCTGTTCTGCTCAAGAATTTCTAGAATGGCAGGAATGTTGAGTCTGAAATCAAAATTATGTTCCTAGATTGATGGATATTTCTCATGCAGAACAAACTTTGTAATTTCTGTTTGTAAATTCTTTATTTTTCAGAAATTGGGAAGGATAACATGAGCTTGAAGGAAGAAAAAAAAATAGACGAATAATAATTTGCTTGTATGCAGGATGAGCTTCTATGCTCGGGTAGGATGGGAACTTGTTCTTACAGCTTTAGAATTCAGTGGAAGGTCCACCACATTGAACATCCATCCTGCTAAACAAGTATCTTTCTGAAGTAATAGAAACTGAAGTTATTGATGCATCAGAGGCTGATGAGCACATGGTGAAAACTTTGTTAAGAATCTAGGTTGTTTGTTTGCCTTGATATGAGTATTATTTATATGGACTTGGACCCAAAGTGAACTTGTTTCCAGTTCACTGTAAATTAAACTAGAGATGTTGTTGGTTAATTTTGTTTATCTGATGCACATATGAGGAGTATAATAATTAGTGTTCTCTGATCCCTTTTCCTATTTGGAGGATGGGGGTTGGGGTTAAGAATTCCATTTCTTTCTTTAGCTCATTATTTTAGATGATGGAGAACAATGTATATCATGAAAAACACAAGCTAATTGTGCTTAGTAGTATAAATTTTCTGTTATTTGGAAAATGAAGCTGGATAATACCAACTGCTGTTTGGTTTGATGCACAGGCGATATGTTTACTGAGGAACAAAATGAGTTGGTTGAATCAGCAGCAGAGATGCTTTATGGTTTGATACATGTTAGATACATATTAACCAGTAGAGGGATGGCTGCAATGGTGAAATTCTGTATTCGTCCCTTGTTTCTTGGATTTTACTTTTTTTTTTACTGGTTGCTAACCATTTCCAACTTCTGAATGACAATTTCTGCAGCTTGATAAGTTCAAGAATTATGATTTTGGCAGATGCCCACGTGTTTACTGCTGCGGTCAGCCCTGTTTTCCTGTTGGTCAATCAGACATTCCTCGATCCAGTACTGTGAAGATCTATTGTCCCAAATGTGAAGATATATATTATCCAAGATCGAAGTACCAAGCCAGTATCCTTTAGCAATTTTGCTTTGATCTATCAGTACATTCATAGCATAATGTTTACTAATTCTTAACGTAAAGAAAAGCTTGCACAGAAATTTGGTTGTGTAATTTTGCTCTAACAGTTGTTCATGAGCTATAGATTGTCATCGGGTTTTAAAAAGGACATATAAAAAGCTCTTATTTTAGGACCCATTGTTAAATTCTCAGTTTCAATTAGAGATCTCTATGTTGATATTTTTCTTGACTTTTCTTAGATGTTGATGGAGCATACTTTGGGACAACGTTCCCACACTTGTTTCTGATGGCATATGGGCACCTTAAACCACAAAGGCCATCACAGAAGTACGTACCCCGAGTATTCGGCTACAAAGTTCACAAACCATGACGTCTGAGTTGAGCGTATGGTTCGCTTTGTGCCGAAAGGGGTGTATCGAGGAACTGCTAAGAGGGTGATTGCTCAACTTAAAGCTGGAGCAACATCTGTAATTGGGCTGACCGATTTTGATGAAGTATAGCTACAACCACTGTGCCGCAATTCTAATATTTTTTGTGGTTGACCAGAAAAGCTGTACATTCTGGCTGCAGTTGTGTTTCACTACTACGATGTTACCATTTATCAGGAGAGGCTCTTTAGTGCAAGGCGGGTCTTCGGACATGGATCATATTACTCAACTTCCCCTGAAGATGTCACGTTTTTACTTTTGTAGATTGCATCCCCTATATTTTGTGATTTTATAAATGCCTCCATAGTTGTCTGTTGTTCGATGCTTCCATCCCACGCCTCTTGCTCCCAATGTCCTGTATAACTTTTCTTGAAGGTGTCATGTTTTTATTTGTTTTAAATGACATCTTATGCCTCTGTTGTTGTTCATTCTTTGTCGCCGCCTCCTACCGCAAGCCCTTACACCTCTTGGTCCCGATGTCTCCTTTGCACTCAAGTGCCATGAAGTTAGAGGGTGTTTAAGTGAGGGCAATGATAATGACGGAGGGCAAGCTCAACACTCGGATAAGATGGATAGCGATGACAGCAAAAACGTGATGACCTTTGTGAGCGAGGGCAACTACGAGATGCGAGGATATGACAAAAGAGGCAAACATAGCGAAAGGCAACAAGGCAGGGGCAACTACAAGAAATATGTATGAGATTACTAGAGACAGAAGGCATCAATGGAGGAAAGGCAACAAGGCAGGAGCAACTACTAGAAATATGTATGAGATTACAAGAGAAAGAAGGCATCAATGGAGGAAAAAAATAAAAACAGAAGGCACCTTCCTAAGAAAGCCAAGAACGAGAAGCTTTTCCAAATAAATCACCACACACACACACACACACACACACATATATATATATATATATATATATATACAGGCGATAGTGGGTGCCAGACATCAATACGAACGCCATGAACTGCATTCTCTATTCCTTATCACCACGTTGCTTGGACACGATGGTTAGAATTCCGATGTAGAACATACCAACAGATCAAAAAGGCTTGCCTTGATGATTCCCGCTGCTGACATAAACTCACAAACTGTTCATCTCAAATCCCGTTATTGACTGCACCAAACAACGGGACGATTATGAAGGCATGCAGAAACAAAAACCAATATGTTAAGAACACAAAACGAGGAGAGAAAGGAGAGCAATTTTTTTCTGGATGGAACATCCTACAAAACCATGAATATCATGCCTTATATCAAAGAAATGCATCCATCTTTGATTGTTTAGGATGCGGTTGGAAATCTTCCAATGGTAGGTTGGAGCTAGCCCGGATCTCATTCAAAATGGTCCCTCCTTTTTCTGACCGTATGGTCTCGAAAATGTTACTGAGCACGTCCGCTGCTATCCCAGTCTCTCTTAAACGGCCTGGTTCTTCACCTCCCTCGCACAACAATCTTCCAATCTCTCTCAAGGTAACCATATCTTCCATAACAAATTTGGCAAAAATGCGACCAAGAAACTCTGCTGCTCTTGGTGCATCGTTCATAGAATCCTCCAATGAAGAAAGAACAGATTCAAACCTGACATTAATCAAATGATCAGTAAAGCTATCATCAATAATAGAAAAAAGGGCATCGACAATCTTTCTCTCTTCACCAGTCATACCCCTGGAGTAGCTGTACTTGATTAAGCAAGCTATCCCTTGATTTGCAAAGGTTGATAATAAGCTCTGTCAAGTGATCTCTTTCGGCATCTTTTCTCTCAAATGAGTCGGTGACCCACAGTGAGATGACAGAAGGATAAAAACTTGGAGCATTTAGCTCCTTGATGCACAATGCAACCTCGTTCTCATCCTTGGCGCTGAAGAGAAACCAGGTTTTGTATCAGTTCCAAACTAAGATCAAAATAATTTTAGTAAATAAAAACAGCAACCTTAACCACGGATTACAATGATTATATACAACGACGACAGATGAAAAGCAGGAAGTAATAAAGAAAAGGACCTTTTTGTTAAATGACACATGGAAAACTCTATCTCAAAGTTGGTTGCTCCTTGGTCATATAAATTAGAAAACCGATGCTAGAGAAGTTGAGTTAGGCTGATAAGAGTGATCTAAAATTACATTTAATATCCTGTTTAGCCTTCTCAGCTTTGACCTATGTTCTATGTTGGCTGGCCTCTGGAGAACAATCTTAGTTTTGACCAATGCTCCACAGCTGACCTCAAAGGTTATCCCTCAAAGGCTTGGATGATGGCAGATTATTCTAAACCAAAGAAATAAACAACAAATAGATGGATGGGGCACATTCTCAATGGGTGGTTTTCTTGTTGGAATGGCAAGGTCCCATTCAACACTAATCGAATGGATGTCAACCTTTTAATTATTAGACAATTTAATGTAGAAGTATCAAAGAAAAAAAGCTACTGAGAGATTGTGAAAACAGCGAAAGAAAGCTCGTGGTAAAATCTAGTCCAACCCAAGAAACACACCCCATACCTGCTTCTCATAGGGCCCATGAAATTAATTTAGGAATATATTTCCAACACAAATACTACAAACAAACAAAACCCTCAAAAGCATCAAAATATAAGGAAATCCTGGCCCAACTCTCCCTCAGCAAAATATTAATGGCATGCATGGTTGTCTACCAATGTAGCAACTCATGTGAGTAGTGATTCTGCTATTTGTCCTTTTCAGCTTTTCTTCATATTAGAGTTTAACATTCAATTAAACACACAAGCAAACATATCATCTAGTTGACCTTGGAGAAAATCTAATCTTATGTTGATTATCAGAACGAACGTATTAGTCCGTACCAGGTTGTTGGGAAGCAGTCATTTCTATCAGGATGGATGTACCAGTTCGCACCAAGTTGGGAAGCAGCCATGCTCAAACCACCGTCCATGAGAACCCCAAGTTGGCCAGCCCCTAACGGCCTCTGGCTGGAATTTTTAATTTTATACACCTTTTGATGATAAATTTCATTATTGTTTCATTTTTATTATTTTATGGTGTCTTAACAGTATTAGACTGAGTCCTGTTGAAGCTAAAAGTCCAATTTTAAATAATAAACAGGGCTGGATAAGTCCTCAAGCCACTAAGGAGTTTTAACGTATGGAAATTTGGGGAACGCCAAGATTTTGTTTTCTACTCCACTTTCTCTTCCAAATTTTTATTCTACAATTTATGCAGGCTATTTAATATATTATCCTAATGGGAAAAAAGTCACATTATTCCATTTTTTATGCAAAACTAATTTCTGACCTATATCAAGCCTAAAATCACATATATCTAAAATTATTTCACATGTTTGATGTTTTCTCCATATACACAGCATCCATGGACCAGGCAAAAGTTCCCATGTTTCTTTTCAACATAGACATCAAGGCTCTCCACTAATAAGCTATTCTTTATGCTTCTTGAATTTTCTCCGTATCTTCCAAAGCTTCATTTGATTCCATCTGGTAAACCTATTGATAAAGTGTGAGCAATTGCAATATTATTGTTTCTCCTAAGACAATGCTAAAACTATGATCTCACCTTTGTCTGGCTTCAGCAACTTTTTCCTATTAAATCATTAACTGAAATAATATGCATCTAAAAAATGCACCATAACAAAAAATCAACTTCCTAAGCAGAGAATCAAACAGCATTGGCATAACAACTACAGAGGAAAAAAAAAAGCATGAACGCAATTGCAGTACAAAGTACTATAAGAAAAGAAGAGGAAAGCAGAAAAACTGTTTCTTTAACAGCAACTTCAGGTGTAACTCGTAGTCTCATGGTAACTTTACTTTGTAATGGCAATTCAGATCATCAAAAGTCCAAAGGACTTGCACAGAAAAAATGAAAATGTAGAAGCATAGGTACACTACAAAGTAGCATAAGAAAAACAGTAACATTTTGTTTTATAAAACCAATACTGGAGTTACACTTAACTCATGGAACTTCATTTAGTAAGGATGATTTGTCGTACCATTACAATTTGAAGGATTTGCCACATCTGAAAAGTGTTAATATTTGTAAAGTCCTAAAAGTAGGCAGACTCCAGCAAAATTTTACATTGTTCTAGCAGCCTCCATAACATAATAGACTACAGATAGCATTATGTACTTTCCGACAGCGAAATGATATTTTACATCCAAGGAATTAGGGTTCAATAAAAATAAAGAAGGAATGCAGTCTAAAACTCTTGTGTACAGATACCAAGAACCAAAGGAAGAGATCTACATATGTTCTTTTGGTTACAGATGTTCACTTATCAAGAGTCAAGGATATTAATTACCAAAGAAGTGAAAAAAAGAGAATGCTAATAATGCTTTTGATTTTGGGTCTGTTATAGAAAACAACCCCAAGTCATTTGCTCATGACCCTCTTGTAATTTGGCTGCAAGGCAAGGAAGTTGAGAGCACGGTATACACTGGCATGCAATAGATGTCTCTCAAATCAGCGACAAAATGTAACCAGCAGTATCCTTATAATGCCTAATACATAGAAAAAATTGTACATTGTCATTTGCTGTAATTAACAGTTTACAGTTCCACCCGAGATTCTCATGATGTTTCTGCAACTTGCATCATAACCTAATTTTTGGTTCCAAAGCAACCAAGTATATGGTCCATCTTTCCCTTTTCCTGCACAATTCCTTTTGTAACCTATGCTCTTCTGTTTCTGTTTCCTTTCTCATTCCATGAATTTCTTTGCCACCATCTCAACTTGCATTCCCTTTGGGAATAATAATCCTCCAGTTTCGTGACTTCTTTAATATCAATTCTAAATGCTGATTTATAATGTGGTATGAAGACGTTGTTAAACCAAAACATAATCTTCCAAAATAAATTCCAGCAACCTACTTTACCTCTCATTCATTCAACAAATCTGCAATTTCTGGAGTAAAGTTTAGGTTCTTAGTCACTTGGTTAATCTTTAATATTTTTTTCATATTAGGAATCCTATCCACTAGTTCATCTATTTTAGAACTTAGATATTATTGGAAGAATCTCAAAGCATCCATGTTAAAATCATATTACTGTCAACACTAGTTACTTTCATCCAAGACTGTTCTTAATGCCAAAATTTTATCATTATGCTCATAAGCATGGATTCTATACTTCAGCTTAAGACAAAAGAGAAGTTCAGTGTCTCCACCTCAAGGATTTACACAAATAAAGGCTCAGGGTCATTATTTTTGCAATTTCCTAAGCACTTCTAATGGGATTAGAAGAACCATTTTGTCTCGAGGAAGTTGTTATATTGCTCTACAAGTCCTTTACAACCTAGTTCAAGTTAAAAATAAAAAGAAAGAGAAGTATCTACACACATGCCGATAACAGCTCTTTATTGGACTCATGCAACTTTTAAATGCATGGCAAAGAACCATATATCTGTTTTGTTTAAAGAATAAATAAATATAACGGAAAATGCATATTGATATCAGTACGAACATAGCAGAAGGAGATTAGAGATTTATATGGTAATAAGATTTTTACATGTTTACAGTTATTTGTTGAAATCTTAATGTTAAAATATAAGGAAAATGATTTCAAAGAAAATATCATAAATAAGAAAAAAATAAATTGATTATTTCCATCATGCAAACGAACAAGGATAAAACAATAGGATTAGAACCAGTCAGAACAGAGATTAGAACCAGTCATCACAAGCACAACTGGCAAGACAGAAAACACATGATTGAGAAAAATACCTATAGAACTCTCTTATTGCTAAAATTGATTTTTCTCGCAGAACTTCTTCTGGTAATGTTCTTATTTCAGAAGCTGAAGTTAGGCTGCTGTCTGAAGTACCATGAGTTCGCCCAGCAGGTAGAATAGACATAACTGATCTATCAGAAGTATGATCTGAAATCTTGAAGTCTCTGCTTCCATAGTAACTAGTACGATCATGAGGTTTTACTTGATCATGTGCTGTTCCAGAAAACCTATCTGCCATATAACTAGTACCATTTGGACCTGATGTCAATCTACGATGTTCTCCAACAGCTGGAGATTCAGAAGCCAGAACATTAGATATTGATATTGATGGGTGTCCTCTTGTAGACATTCCCCTAGCCAGGCCACCTTGAGGACCAAGGGTAATAGAATCATCATCAGTAGACCTTTGCGGTAGAGGAAGCGACACGGTTCTTGTTTCAAAATGATGCCTATCATCCAAGCGTACATCCTGGGTGCCATACCCACGAGCCTGAGTTGGCAATCCACGAAGACTGCCAACCTGCTGGGAATTTGGAGAAGTTAACGGTGTGGATCCACGGGAACCATAGTCAACTACTTGACCACGTCTTGGGAAATTACTAATGACAGGACCACGAGCCAACCTACTTGATTGAGCTTGCCTTTCTTGAGCTGCATCTCTGTGAACCTCCTCGATCTTCTTTGGCCCCTCAACTTTCCTTCTCTGTTGCCATTTATTTTTTCTAAGGTCAATTGCATCTCTCAGCATAAATCTAACACGTGAAGATAACTTTTGATTTGTTGATAGATTTGTCATCATATCAAAATATGCATCCATGTGCTCTTTTGCCTTGGGGTGATCTATCATCTCCCCAATTGTACTCATCAATTTGCACAGCGCTTCAACATCTTCCTCATCAGGATTCTGATACTGGCCTAGCAACTTCTTGATGCACTCATGCATAATTCTCTCAGTCAACATTTTCTTTTTGTACAATTCCCCAATCAACCTAATATTACCCAGCATGCGCCTGCGGGCCCGGAGCCTTTTCTTTTCCCTCTCCTCTTCGGACTGCTTGATCTCACCCTCCTCCTCGACTTTGTTAGCTTCAGCTTGTTCTCTCTCCCCTCTTTCAAATTCTTCTTGACATTTGTTCAGAAGCAGTCTTTTAAAAGTTATTCTTTCATTGTCTTCATTGAAATCAGGTAGTGCACCAGAGAGATGAAAACAAAAGTTAGCATACATTTCGCAAAAGGTAGGTTCCATCAAAGCTTTGTCAAAGATCTGTGAGATGACACCAGTAAGAGTAGCTGCACTGTCAATGTTAACCTCCTTGACCTGGGCACAGAATTTTTCAAAATTTTGAGGGGTCAATTTGTTAAGGATAGCTTTTAGCTGTCTTTGCTTTCCCTCTTCCTGATCAACAGCTTTGCCCACTTCATATTTTCTCTCAGCTTTGTGCATTACCTGCAAAGGTGTTTGAGGAGAGGGCATTAAACCTCTTGCACGCTGCCACCTATCTGCATCACGAGGCATGCCTCCCTGAGATGCCACTGACTGTGTTGGCCCCGATAGAATTCCTCCAAATTGATTGGATGCCTGCCCACGTGGATTTCTCAAAACCCCATGACTGACACCTTGCCCAGGTCGAAGACTGACAATTGCAGCTCCATGCCCGATATCCAACCTGTCACGTCCAAGGCCGAAAGATGGAGATTTTGTCCATTTTTCATCATCCAGATTGCCAACCATACGGCGGTCTACTCGAGAAGCACCTGATGGTCGATCTATGATCCTCCCAGGACTTGGACATGGTGATTTCCCTAGTGGAGTGCTCATCAGTGCATCTGATATGTCAGAACCAATCTCAAAACCCACAGGAAGCTCAGTAAACTGCTGCGAGAGGGTCATTAGAAAGTCCCTCGAGTATTTCTTTTGAGTAGTAGCTTCATCACCATCATAATCATGCCCATCAGCTGAATGCCCATGCTCTGATGTTTTCAGTTTTGGAGTTGATATATCAGCTGCATCTTCCCAATCATCCAGCTCAGCTTTGTTCTGCCCATCTTCCTCGCTTGCAGCCACTTCCTTATTAGTAAAATCTACATGTGCACTCTTTGTGTCAGTCATAGAATTATCTATGCTTTCTGGGTTGCTAACAGTCTCATGCATTTCCTCTGGGCCTGTGTATGCATTGTAAAGGTCAGAAGTCCCTGCAGCATCTGCTTTGGAAAGTATTTCCTTTCTCTTCTTTTTTCTTGTGGTAGTAATCTTAGGCTTCAATGTTTCCAACGAAGGCTTCTCCTTCTGCCTCAAGCTTGTTGCAGAAACCAGTCCACTATGCAAACCCACAACTTCAGATTCCGACTTCTGTGTCACCTCAGATAAAGATGGACTAGGAACAGGGGCTGTCTCAATGACACCGGAATCAGTTAAACCAATATCCTCACTGTATTTTATTTCACATTTGGTTGTAAAAATGTCAACCTTATCTTTGTCATCATTGGCAGATCGAATATCATTGCTAGGTGCAGTTCCAGAATCAGCAGGGTCCAGAGATGCATCAATTGTCTTATTTTCTTCATTGGCTATTCTACTTTCCCCCTCTTTAGTTCCAACAACAAAGCTACTAAACTGTTTGTTGTCTGCTTCATGGTAATCACTAAATTTCACTTTCCCATCATTTCCTCCGCCATCATCTTGTTTTAGCAACATAACTGGATCAAAAAGTTTGTAAGACTTCTTGGTTGTAGAAGGTTGATGCACGTTATTGTCACTAGAATCTTGCAATGAAGCATCTGACACTTCAGACTTCTCATGCTTTGTTACATCAAGCATTTCATCTCTCATAACGTCCAAAACTTCATTGACCAAACATGAGCTAGTACACAAACTCCTGGAATTAGTTCCATCCATCATAGGACTCAAAGAAGTTGTAACCTCAGAAGGGACATCCTCTTTGATAGAAACACCATCAGGTGCTGAACCAAATGAATCAGCATGAAACAGTGAAGTACCTTGAGATGCTTCCTTCTCCAATATCGATCCAGATAAGCCAGAAGCAGCAGGCATTATTTCACCTTTAAATGGCTCAGTTGCTCCTACTTCCGAAAGAATCATGTTTTCAGCTTTATTACAAGACCATGCTGAAGGAGTGGCCAGATCAGACGCCAAAACAGCTTCAGTATTCTCAGTGTTAGTGCATCCTTCTTGATAAATTAGCTCTCCCGCATAACTACTCTTGGTTGGTTTTGGTGAAGACAGTTTTGCTCCTTCAGGAGAAGACACATCTAACTGCAAAGATTCAGACACATTGGCATGTTAAATAAGGAACAAACAAGAAAGGAGTAAACTAGAACCACAAACCTGATGTTCTTGTTGGGAGTTTCTAAGATCCTTTCTATTTTGCTTTTTCTGGTTATCCTTTAAAGAATCAGATCTTCGAAGAGGTTCTCTTTTCCTAATATCACTTCCAGATTGAACTGATCCAGAATCTCCAGTTCGTGATTCAGGGGTGGATGAAGCTTCAGAGAGCATTCTCTGTGATGAGAGCACAGGAGGAGCAGCAGCTGAGCTTTTGTCCAAGACAGGCAATGTAAGTAGTGGCTCGGAGCCTGACTTGAGCTGCTGAGCAGGTCCATCTGGACTGGTCTCATTATTTTTATGACAGGAAACGGTAGCATCTGCCACAGTCTTCACCGACTTAACTGGTTCTGCCTCAGTAAGAGGCATGCTAATTACCACTGGAGGTGTCCCGGAAGATGCACCAACTATTTCACTTTGTAAACCTTTCACATTTATCTGGACTGCATAAGGGAGGGAGGTGGAAACTGGTAACCCTTCCAAGTTGACCGCTTCAGGCATGGAAAGTGCAGGTTTGCCACCTGGAACAGCATTGGCCATGGATGACTTCATGAAGGACAAGTTTTGTCCACTTTGACTCACAGGATAGCTATACTTTGGAGCCTGTGAGCTCAGAGGTACCTGCCCACTGGTCAGAGGAACAGTAGTGGTGGTAAAAATAAGTGGAGAAGGGCTATAAGAATTCTGCTGCATGGGGGCGTAGTAGTTCATCTGATGAGCTGCAGAATATGTTGGAATAGGCTGAGCTTGTGGGATTACATTAGAAAGTGACCTTTGCCCAGAGGAAACACCATCCTTAGAAGAATCCATTCTTTTGTCAAGCCTCAACACTTCATGAGTCTCTGGATGAGTTATTTTCACTATAGTCTTACGAGGGCCACTAAATTTACCCATATGCTGTTGAGGGAATTGTGAAGAAATGCCCATTCCCATATTTCCTAACTGCTGGGACAATTGATGACTAATTGGAGGGGCAAACCCTAAACCCTGGCCCTGGTGCATCATTGCCTGTTGTTGTACAAAATGAGATTGGATGCCAGGAACATAAATCTGCTGTGCAACTTGGGGAACATTGCCCACAGGTAATGTCATGGTCATTTGAAGTGAATTGGCTGCAAGGCCTGGTGATTGCATTTGGGGACTAGGGCCACCAAGCTGAGGAGGAATTTGTGGTTGGTGAGGTTGAAATGGCATAGGCATAGGCATAGGAGGCATTCCAGGAATTGGAAGAACAGATGATTTTGGCATGGATGTGACTGAGGCAGATGGGACTGGGATGCTTACATCCCTCTTTGATTGTGGTAGAGGATGGGCCTCCACACTATTAGATTGCTGAGCACCACTGACATCCTTTCTGGCTTGCTGTTGCTGCTGCTGTTTTGGGATAGAGGCCACAGGCAATGTTGGAGCAGCTCCAAACGACTCAATGCGAGCCTGAAAGGTTAACAAAGTTAAACATCAGTGTGATAATTAAACTCAAAGCAGCCAGGTGTGTTATTGAAGCCACGGTATCATAGAAGCAAGTAAAGAGTGTCAAAGTAGAGTAAGTAAAATTACGAGGTACAAAAAGGCCATACACCAATGAAAGGAAAACTGATCTAGATATGGATTATGAAGTAGATAGTTTTATTCTTGTGAAAAAAAAATTGACGAAATAGAAAACATATTTAGTAGTACCAAAATATCCACAAACCTGGTCACATTTCTGCTCATCCAGATTTGGTGGCGCGGAGCTTGTCCGAGCAGGGATCTTTCATAGCCATAATGCATTTACCAAGTATGAGCAAAACATCACAAGCGACACAGGAAACAAGACAAACACGAAAATTACAGGTTCCCAAAAAAAATTTACCTGCAATCCATTCACGATGCCAGGGTTTATCGAGCCAAACTGAAGGGGAAAAGTCCTAGATGTATCCCCTGAGGAGAGCACCACGAAATGAGTAGTATAGAACAATCTTTCTTTCATCACAGAATTGGCTCTCAACAGTACATCAGTAAAGCTTGCAAAAGTTCAAGATTACTACAGCGAAGTCTTATGTGAAAATGAACACAGTTAATTTGAAAGGAACAACACCGAACCTTTGGGCGGTGCCGAGGTTGTTGAAGAACTTGAAGCTCCAGTAGCAGATTGAGAATATGGCGACTTAGGGATACCTCGGGATGCATTTCTAGGGGTCGGCATATCAATAAGTTTTGCACCGCTGGGGACTGATGCATCTGAAAATCCTACAAAGAACCAGCATCAACAGCATGCCCAGTTAGAGGATGAGATAAATACTAACAGATCATCACTCTCGAACAGGGAAGGAATTAACGTAAACTAAGTCCGGCTTCTGGCTGCTATTTCTAGGGCTAGCAATAAATCTTTCAAGAAGCACATTACATACAAAAATACAAAATATAAAGACGGTTATTTTGAACGTGATACCAGGAGAAGGCTGGGGGGCCTGAGCACCATTCTGAACAGCACGATGGGCGGTGGTAGAGGGAGCAGCACCACTCGCTTCAGAAGTCGTGCTTGCTGGAATTATTCTAGATTGACCGCCGTGTCCATTACCAGATTTCTTGATACTACAGAGACCGACATCAAAAGACGTACCTTAGGAACCCTATCTTTTCGGACATCATAATGCATAAACCACCATAAGCAAAAAGAGGGTCTCGATCAAAAAGAGAGAGAAAGGTTGGCACCTGCGGTTCGTCGACAACGATGGGGAGATCGACGAAGGAGCAGCAGAGGAAGCAGACGAGGAGATAGGAGAAGGGGCGGAACTGCCGCCCTTCCCGAGAGCGCCGCTGCCAATGGAACCCCTTTGCTGGCCGGAGCTGCCCGATCGACTGGGTTTCCTAAGCTGACCCTGGGTCCTCTCAGCCCTGGATTGATTGACGGACATAAATACCGGCGGCACTTGCTCCTCCAAATCTAAACCAGAAGCACAACCACCGAAACGAAAGAAAAGATCAAAAACCAAACGATCGATCACACTAGATCGAACCCTAAAGAATCCACTGTGCTACAGATGCCGCGAGCAATCTGATCAAGAAAGAACAAAAAAGAAGCAACCTTTTTTCTCAAGCGAAGTGTAACCTAGATGAAAGTGACAGGGGAACAGTGCAGGAGACCCAATCGCAGTTGGAGTGCAAAGAAAGCGGGCGATTTAGGGAGATCACGGCCTTCCGCTTACCTTAGAGTTCGAGAGCGAAGAAAGCGGGCGATTTAGGGAGATTAGGGCTCCCCCTCAGTGGGATGCGAACGAAGCGGGAATCATCAACAGCACATCACTGGAGAGAGAGAGAGAGAGAGAGGGGACGGGAAGAGAGAGAGAGAGAGAGAGAGAGAGAGAGAGAGATTTAAGAAAGGGAGAGAGATGTGGGTAAATTGGGAAATGAAAGAGGAGAAAAGAAGGCATTAGAAATAATGATAAGAAAAGATTAAACGGAGCGAGAAGGGAAGACGATCAAAGCTAACCAAAATCGACGAAGCATCACGTTCGAATAGGACGCGTGTCCGACCCAACGTCGATGGGATGGCCTTTTCGTGTTATAAGACTATAAAAGGGGGCGCATTTGGTTTTGGGCCTTACGAAGCCCAATAACATGAACCTCGCTCTGCAACCCGACGACGCATGAAGAACATATTTCCAAGTTCAAACCCAGTCAGACAGATACGATAATAACAATCAAATCATAAAAATCAAGATTACGTGCATCCTTCTAAAGTTTCATCTTTAATTAAGCTTAAAGTATTTAAATTATTATTTATAAATTTTTTGGATCTCAATTAGAGACCGTTGATTGATAGTAATCATACTATATCTTCTAATTAAAATATTTATATATGTATAGACTGTTTCTTATCTTACTTGATATTGATAATACATCATCAATCATGATGCGGATAGCCGTATCATATGGTGTACTAATAATAATAGATCAACGGAATCGATAGTCAAAGACATGTAGGAAGGCTGCGATGGTGATTTAAAGAAGAAGCACTCACTACTCACCATTTGGAGCATTCAAACTTTGTTGGGACTGCTTAGGCTTTCTTACGCTGCAAGGAAACGATGCAATTGGAAAAGCAGCAGAGGGGAATGATGGCGACGGATGTGCAGCTGAATTGGGAATTGGTGAGACCTCACACCGAGTTGCTGCCATCGGAAGCGGCGGTATGCTTTTTAAGACTGGTGGATAAGTGCTGCTGTTCTTTTTCTTTAGATATCCCCACATACTATTTTTTCCTTTTACCCATAAAGAAGCCTCAGACAAGGTGGTCGATTATTTATTTTCGATTCATTCAGGAGATCGCTGTTTGAATCACTGAAATAAAATTATCTCTCTCTCTCTCTCTATATATATATATATAGAGAGAGAGAGAGAGAGAGATGTTGATGGAAGTCTGTATTCCAACTGGCCAAACTTCTCCTTCAAGCTGGTTGCTATTTTAAGCTTGATTGACACCTACCTTAGGGTAGCACAAATTCTGCACCATATTAATTAACCTGGTCTGAGCAAAATGAGATCATGTCAAGCATGTTAACGAAGTTTGTATCCAAGGCGCATGAGGGACACCACATGCCAAAACCTGTTAGGCAAACCAGAAATTGACATCCAACCTGAGAGATAAAAGAGTTCATCCTTGATAACCAAATTAGGTGATCAAGACATGAGGAGGATAGTTTAGACAGATGAATCTTTTTGAATTTGCAGATCCATAACTGGCATTTTTCGGTATCGTACACTTGACAAGAATAAGTTTGTCCTTGCAGTCACAACATATCAATCGGTGAACTGAACACATAGATTGTCTGAAGCATTTATCAAAGCTTTTCCTCAGATAAACATGCATTTATCAGAACTTTATGTAGCAGTTTTCAAAGACTTCATAATCAATAGTGCCCATCCATCTGCCATATCTTTCTAGATTCCACTTGGCAAAGGCACAGGAAAAACTCAAAGCGAGGCAAGGATCCATCAGAAAATTTTGCAAGAATTTAATGTCCAAAGTGTCCTAAACCAATTAATAAAGAGAAAAAAAAAATTGTGAAAAGTTACCATCTTTTGATGGTTCACATTTGTTGGAAAGTAGAAACCAAAAACATCCTGCCTCATCCCAGATGAAAGTATTACTTGATCCTAAAATCAAAATCTTCTTTCTGTGATGTCCGTTGCAATAAGTGTGATCAGAAAGCATCATAACCTTCAGGTTTAAGCTGCACTTGGTTCCACATAACTTCTTAACAGCTAATTTCCCATGAAGCCACCGTAAAATTTTCAAGGAAAAAGAGCACCTGACCTGCAGTTGAATGTGTTTCATGTGTTTGAAGCAGTGGGTCTTTTGCACCGTATGAAGCAGCTAAGGTGGTGGGTGGCTGGTAGGCATTTCCATCCAGAATATATGACCAGCGTGCCACATAGAACACCTTGACCACATAATACGACCATTGCGCCACATAGACTGCATCTACCACATAATACTTATGTGACATCTGTCATCTTGAAATCTTGTCAATTCCATCAACAAAGAGGCTCGTGATCATCAACGGCTACATTCCAAATGTCTACCCTTGCATAAGAAATCATAAGCAACACACATAAGAAATTCCACCGACTCCAAAGGAATTTCTGTGTCCTCTTGCACATGTCTGTCGGCCCAATCTAATATATTCTGCGTGGCATCATCAAATGTGAAGGACACCTCACGAAGTCTTTCTCCCCACGTTAGGGCCCTCCTTGCTAGCCCTTGCTTGCAGAAATGAGAAAGGAACAGGTTAACAGTAACAACATTGGGAACAAAGGCCATCTTAAGCAATTTTCCAGTCAAAATCATAGCACGATCTCAAGTACATAACAGCAAAAACCATTCATGAAAGTGTTATAGGTAATTGTGTCCGGAACAAAACCTGTTGAGACAAGCTAATCTAGCATCTTCATGGCTCGATTCATCATAAGGCTGGTGCAGAGGCTGTGGATCCGTATATTGTATATGAAAATATCTGGTTCAAAACCAGAGCCCTACAGTATGCACTTATAAAAGTACTGTAAGTTATGACATCCGGTGCTACACCATTGGTGTACATTTCCATGAATATATTGTTTTCCATTTTCATCCTACCTTGTCTACAGAATCCATCAATAATTATGTTGCCTGTGAAAATATCAGGCAAAAGGCCATTATGTATCTCTACAAAATCCAGATACCAAAGAATTATAGGTGAAATGATCAGGGACTAATCCTCACCTAGACATTTTGTAGAAAGCCTTTTGTTCTTCATCAATGGAATTAGCCCTACAAAGGCCATTGATATATGCTGAAATGCCAATCACATCCGCTTGTATCCCTTGTCTCTCCATTTCGTTCCAGCATCTCAACGTCGCTATGGCATCAACTACTCCAATACAGCCATCTATATAAATGATCTTGCAGTATATCTGGGTATTTTCCCTCCCTCATAGCAAACTAGATCTTCAATTTCCAATTTTCTCCCTCATGGAAAGCTCCACCTGATTTTAGGAATTTATGTAAAAAGAAATGAAAACATACAAGCTAAATCACTAGACAAAGTTAACTGGCCACCAATTGCTCGAAACTCAAATAGATGGTTTTTGTGGCTGATCCGCATTTTCTTCAAACTTTGATTGCTCTAAGAGAAATCAAAGTTATATCACTTTGAGTTTATATATAGGAAACTTTTAGCAAAACCACTAATAGACTTAGAATCTTACTTGAAAACTACAACTAAAACAGACCCTTAATTCATCCAGAGCACCAGTTACGAACAATCTTTCGATATACGCTACATCCAACATTGGAGCGATATCATAAGATTTTCCTTTAGTAGTTTCAGCTGGGGAAAAAAATTCAGATATGCTGCTCAGTAATGGTTTCACTTAACAACACAATTATTTATTTTTTACAAAAAAAAACTTAACTAAGTTACTTCTGAGAGTAGACACTTTAGTGTATTGCTGGGTGGTACACTTCAGAATCATCAAGAAAGGTCAGCCTATTGTTTGCTGTTCACATGGACGCAAGTATCTGATGCGGGAGTATAAGCAAATTCAGGAGGCTTAAGTTACCAAAAAGTATTTGGCAAGTCTTCAGGGCCCATTTATATTGCGGCCCCTATATATGGTTCGTACCTTTTCAATCATGTAAAGAACACTAAAGCCACTAGTAACCTTGAGACAACTTAATTAAGTTACTTCAGAATGGCATGATACTAGATGATGTAGAACTAAGGTGATGATGCGGAACATAAAGCATGAAGAGCTTGATATATGCTCTAACAAAAATACCATTAACAGCATTTCCATGAACACAAATGAATAGGTGAATTATCAGGTTATATCAGCACCAACAACTGGTCAGTCTTGTCAGCTTAAACATCAAAAGAAGCATGATATCCACGATTGTCCATGTCATCAAAGTTTTTAGTGTGCACTCAAGACGGTGGCCAATTCAGTGACACTGATACTCGGGGGCACAATGATTATTACAAATGATATTATCATTGTCTATTTTATGCAAAAAATCATCCTAAGAAAGAGCTGGTATTCATTCAGATGTGCTACATAATACCTATAGAATGTTTCCCAAGAAAAAAGGCATTACATTTACACCACAAATAACCAAAAAAATGGCAGATGATACTTTGAGTTCTGATAGCATTTCGACAGGCTAACATCTTATGCATCTCATATGGTAACAAAAGCTTATTTAAATTAAACAAAGAAGGGAAAAATGCATAATTTTACACAAACATCGAACTGGTTCAGTATATTAGGTGCAATGACATCAAACTTCAAAAAACAGGTGCAAAGGAATTAATTAAAATTGTAACCCACATAAGACAAGTAGCAACAAATGATAGTCATCAATTTGTCATCTCAAGATTTGTTTCTTAAATTACTTATGAAAAGCTGTAATACTTTATGATGTTGAGAACATAATAACTTATACCCATTTTACAAGCTAGAACAGTAAAGAAAAATAAGCAGCTTGAAGTCATTTGGAAATGACAAAGCAATAGGTGAAATAATAAATCTATTTCTCCTTAGTTTATGAAAGAACCTGTCACAACATTAGTAATATGCAACACATGACTATAAAGGATATAGGTGTAGATGAATTTAATTTGTAATTTTTAAGGTTAT